TTTCCGTGACTCTCCACTACCGAACTCTCATAAGGTCTCATCTTAGCAGAGAAATGTATACTTGTGAAGAAAACAACAAAATTAACCTTAGAGGATAGTCTAGATCTGTATTCCCACATTCAGCACACAGACACTTGCAATAAACAGGCTTTCTTAAGGAAAGATATTGCATCATTTTCCAACTGCACTGCAATGAATCCTTTGAAACATTTGTTTTGTTTCATCAGATGCTTATCTGTCTCAAGTGACAAGAACATACTGCTTGTTACCGTCTCCAGCCCCATATCCAGCATATACCCCAGCAGTAGGGGAAGGAGATAGTATCAAACTATACTTTTCCATCCACATACAAGTCTTACCACATAGTTTCCTGATTTTCCTGATATATTTAAGAACATATTTCTGCAAGTGCACTGCTACGTGTTTGACAGGAATAAATGAAGGCTACTATTTGGACATACCTGCCATAATTATTTCTACATGCTAATGCATTCTGCTAAATATTCGTACAGGACTGCCAGTGAAAACACCAGTGAAACACCCAGAGCGGGCATCATGATCACTCATGTCTCACAGTGATGCTATGTGAATATGCAGGACGGCAGACACTGCCCTCTTACAAACATTTCTCTCCCCTCCTCTTTGCTTTCCCTGAGCCTTTACAGGATTCCTATACTTTTGCATCAGCTGATAAAAACAACTTCTAATCATCTGCGCTGGCATACACAGGCACATAATGGTATGTTTTGAGCCTGTGTCTTTGGCAACACATCCTAAAATTTAGCAACAGCCAAGGCTTTGATTCGTAAACCATTAGATCACAAATGACCGCATAGATCTTTTCAGCTTTTACTTTAATATCTAATCTAATCTGCACATAAAACACTCCAAAGAATGCGTCTTGCCCACTTCCCTTAGCAAAACATACAATGGCCAACTACCAAGACTGTTTAAAATATTTTTTCTGCCTACCCTAATATTTTCTGCCCTTAGTTTTGGGACTGTCAGTACCTCAATATCCCAGAAACTTTATAATTTGAGGAGAAACACACAGTAAACATAAATGAAGAATAATAAGTATATAGAGATGTTGGGGGTTTTTTCCCCCTCAAACTAAATACTTCAGACTGAACTGAGAGATTCTGTAAAACATATTTTGCATGGAGCAAAAAGACACTTTTTATGCATAAATCATGTTCACTTTTTCAGCATGTATTTTTCTAGTAGGAAGAATTTCCTAATATAACAGAACAACACACACTTTTTCCCAAGGAAAACCAGCGTGCGCACTATTTTTGAGTCGTGTAAAGAATACCAGAGCAGAGAAATGGTTCAAAAAGAAAAATCCTTCTCTGGCAGAGGACTGCCCAGACAGTGTAGTTAAGTTAAATCTACTGATCATCTTCAGGATTCTCCAATTATGGGTACATGGCTGGGCCTTGCCCACAGTGTTTACATGACCCCTCCAACTAACATCCTGAACTACTGTGCTACAGCCAATATTCACTAAAAGCGTAAACAACTGTGAAAAAATGTACAGGAAAAACCCTGACAAGTTTGTAGCCCACAACTGCATATGGTGGGAATTGGTGGAGCCTTTGCAATACAAATAGTGCCCCAAATCAGTTCTCCACACAGAGAAAGTTTCCAATGATAAGGGACACATGTAAAGCACGTTCTTTTAAAAACCTGACTCCCATTAAGCAGCTCATTGTTCATAAAGGGAATGGTGTTTACACAGGAAAAAGTCCAGTTTCAACAAATCTGAAATCCAACAGATGTTTCCTTCTATCTAAGCAAAACAAGTTTGTGACCCATTTCTGCCCAATCAGAAGGCTCCAACATTAATTCTACAGGGAAAAAAAAAAAAAAAACAACCTGCACTTGACAGAATGACCCTGGAAAACAGAAATCAGAAAAACTTATATTTCAAAATTGCAGTTGCTACTAAAGTTAATTCACTTGAAAAATTTAGTCTTCTTTAAACAGAATGCTTTATGATCTGGGTTTGAAGGGATACAACATGATAATTATAATTTTGGTTTGCGCTGGAAAGAGAAAGTAGGGCTGGTTGTTACTCACACGGCTCCACGTTGTGAATGCTCTCCTCAAACCAATTAACCTCTCTTCTCCAGACCTCTCCTGACATCCCCCCAAAACTCCCAGCTGCTCTTGGCTTCCTCAGATCTCTCAAGACCTCTCTTCCTGTGCGCACAGCAGTTAAATAATAGAAGTGGCTGAGCAGAGTATAAAAGGTATATCTCTTAATTTCATTTTTTTTTTAAATTGCTACTACCACTACACACTAATCACAATCACTTTGTAAAAGGATGAAGAATTTCAGGCTTTGCCAAAGTTCTGCTGTTGAGACTGCGCTGTTACACACCTGACTGTTTTACTTACCGTCATGAGAAAGTTTCAGTACTTTCAGGATGTGCCTGGTGGTATTATACCTTACAGGGCAAAGCTGGATCTGGTGTCATTCTGCTGCACAACCGAATGCTGGAAAGGCAACATCTTACAGGGTGCACTTTCTGTACTAAACAATACCTTGCTCCAGAAGACGAACCGAGACAGACCATGTGTTGCTGAGAATTTTATCAAGTTTTTTATAGCTTTTATAAAATGCAGCAGCAGAGACCCAACAAATTAGATTAACAGTTAGACACAAGTGTCAAAGCCAAGGCTAAAATATTCTTAATCATGAGTATAACAAGCATAGTCAGTGCATGCAACCTTCTGTGCCCATCTTTGCCTCTGCAAGTCCCTTCTTCACTAGATTTCACTCACATTATTTCTTGTCCTAGCTATTTTGTGAGCATTACACAAAGTTCCCACCTTCACAATATTTTATGCGCAGCATGCTGAGCACTGAGGTTCCTTACCCCAGCCGAGGCCTCTGCATGCCCTGAGATGCACATAACAAGAAGACAGGGCTGTAATCAGGCAGCAATGCAACGCACCATTATTAGAACCAACATGAATATTAGCAGTGTGAAGAAGACCCCACTGAGACAGATTTCAAATCTGCCTATCAAACAATTACAGCAGAAGGTAGAGGTGGCTTTCTCCCTCCCCCAGTAATCCTGTTTGTCCTTTAAATAGATCATAAGTATAATCTTAAACTGTCAGCATTTTTGTAAAGAAATACCAGCTCAGACCTAATTGGATTTGTCAGACAATCACAGCTAAACAGTTCTGTGAGCTCCAACAGCTGAACAGCTAGGGAAAAAAACCTTCCACATCGGAACATATAAGAATATGAAAGTTCATTTCCAGAGGAGAAATTTCCTCTGAAAGTAAGTGGTAAAAAGACATAATTTGTTCCACAGTTCAAACCCTCTCCCTTAGCAACATAATGATGTGGTGTGGCATAGCTAAGGTTGTGTGAGCTGCTCCACATAGATGATTATCTGGAGTTAACTGTTCAAACGTTGTCACTTCGGGCTGCTCTGAACTCACCATGATTGCCAAAGGTTTGCCTACGCAAACTTGCTTTTATTTTAAACTTTTTAACCACGAATAAGAAAATGGGAGGAAAAAAGCCAGAGAATTCTGACAGGAACATGTAACAGTAGCATTTGAAAAGAAAACAAGTATATATTGCATGGCATACAAACAAAAAACCTAGGGGAATAGTTTTGCTCTGAAGAGCAGAAATACCTCCTATTCCTCTGGACTTCTTGACTTTTTTCCTCACCAATATATGTATGTACACATGAAACTTGCTCCGTCCTTGCTGTGTGTATCATCAGCTTCTTGTTCTGTACATGCTTCTGTGGGCTGGAATAGGACATTTTAAAGACACACTAGGGTATAATGGCCTAAAACCCCCACAAACCTCATCCTCTGAATGGCAAGACAGAATACATTACAGTGATGTAGGGGTTACAGGTTAAGGGAGTATAATAGGCCAAATCTTACAATACTTTCAATGCCTTCAAACTGTGGTTTCTTTAACGAAGATTGAGATTATTCCATATGTGTCCAGATCCAGAAGAAAAGTCATTATACAGATTGTGTGTTGAAAATTGAAGTGATGTTCATTTCACTGACTTTAAAATAACAGTCACACAGGTTTTTAACATTTATATTTAGGAGAATATCAACCTGAGCATTCAGCAACATCATTTTCTGTACTTGCACAGTTGGTAACCAGCACGTCTGTGACTGAGGAATGTAAGTAAACTTTGCATTGAATTCTGAATCATGTTTTGATCTGGGGCAAAAGCTGTTTGAGATAATGTAATGAGTCTATCACCGTCAACATCAACACTCAGGAGTTATACACTCTCCTACCTGTTGGCTTATCCACACCAAGGAATCCAGCCTGTCCCAGGGTTTTAAATATTTTATGTGCTGGGAACTGTCCTTCTTCTTCCCACTTGTCCACAAAGGGATTAATCTCCTTGTCGATGATCTAGATTTGAAAAACAAATTTTAAAAGTTGTTAACACAGACATTGCTACAAAGACACCTTTGACTACTTTTGTCTGAAAACTTTAATTTAAAAAGAAAAAAAAAAATACTTACAGAGAAAATTTTGAAAGCACATTAATTTTCTTACTTCTTGTTGGATGTCCTTATTCTCCACCCACCCACAACTATTACAACAGATGCAATGAGGCAAATATAAATAATTCTTTTAGCAATTACAACTACTACAACAGGAAGTCATCAGGGCTGGCTTAAGCCTCTCCAAGACCTATGAAAGTGGCAGTTCCCCCTCACCATTTGTTACCTTTCTGGGTACAGTTTCTAGAAAGTGACAGGAAGGGAAACCTAGATCGTCCTCAGAGGGACCTTGCCAAAGATGATCTGTTCACAATGACCACACATGGTATGCAAGACAGGCGAGTAGGAGAGACCTCATTTCCCCTCCCTTTGCCTGAAACGCTCTCAAGGACGTTAGCGCTGTTCAAGGCACTTGTGTCCAGTCTGCATTTAGACTTCCCTAGGGTCTGACAACACACGTACTGGAAAAATCTGGTCTTCTTCCAGATTTTATAGCATTTCCAAGTCTAGTCCCTGGGCAACTCTCAACTGGGCTATTGCTGCACACCTTTCAAAAGTCAATGTCCTACCTGGCTACTGCCCTTGCTCTATTCAGGCTGGCGTCTTCCCTTCCAGCTGTTGTGAGAAAAACACATCTGGAGTACAGTCACTGTATTCAGTAACACTTTCAGGTTTCAGAGCACAAGGGTTGGACATCTCACCCCACAAAGTCCCAGATTTCCATGGCCATGGGAAGGAAGCAAAATGGGCAACCTGCAGTTTTGCAGCTGACCTCTAAGCCTGGGATTAACTCCTGAACAGAGCGGGCTCTGTTGCCAGACAGCCCCACGCTGCAGGATGCACTGGGCTTCTGCCACCTTGTTCTTGCTCCCCATGCCCACTGACCTGGCGCAAGGCAGACGCAGTTTCAATAGCTCTCAAAAGGAGTCAGTTGTATAGTGCCCACCCCTGCCTACCTCCACAAGCCAAACCAGGGGCTGGCACAGGCTGCTTCTGCCGTGCCGCCAAGTGTGCTGTGCACCTGGGTCAGCATGTACAACAGGGTCCAAATGCAAAACATAAAAGGCACCCTCCTTCCCCTAAACCAAACCTCATCAAAACAAACACCCATTCCCAATAGAAAGTTAATGCCTTTAATCTGTGACTACAATTTTACTGCTACACTGTTTCATGAAGAGAGAATTTATTATTTTAAGAAGTTACTCCTCTTAGTCTTTTCTCCACACTAAATAAACAAGTCCTGTGGTGCTAACTATTTCTTGAGCTGGAAATAGACTCCTCTCCCTCCCAAACTGCTGTGCTCATGAGACCCTGCGGAGCCTTCTTCCGAACTATCTATTTATTGCGCATTCTTGGAGAATTTCAGCCCATATATGGCTGCTTTCTGCTTCCCAGTTGGCCACAGAAGTAAGGATACTTCACTACTGGTAACAGAAAAATCACTTTTTCACTTCTCTTACCAAATTCTGAGAAATGTATATACTGAATGTTCAACTCACTCAGTAATTATCATCTCTCTCCCTCTCTTATACTGAACAATGTAGGCCTCATGATCAACAGTAACAAAGTACTCACCAGGATACTGTCTAGGAGAGCCCACATTTAACTTCTATACTGCCATATCCTAGATGCTCAGATTTTAAGATGCTGACCCTCAACACTGAGTTACAGGTGGTGAAACCTTTTTGATTGTTTGTAGTAACATCTGGTAACGCCCATCAGACAACATCCCGGGAAATGCCTGAAAGAGGTTATGAAGTACATACAGAAATTTATCCCAGTGTTTTGATGGATCTTGGCAAAAGCATGAAGTGAATGCACTAACAGAGTTTTGTGCTTCTTATGGCTGGTACTGGGCCAAATGGTTCACAGCCTACATACAAAGCTACCTTTGAAGTTAAATGGAGTCGGAAGAATGACTAAGGCATTAGAGAAGTAGTTTTACATCATTTCTGCGGATGATGACCTGCTTGCTCCTGTGCCCTTGAGTAAAACTCAGATTGTTTAACAGAGCCAAAGTTTAATTATTATCAGGTGAAGTTTGCCATGTTGAGTAAAACAAGATCTTCCTTGCATGTCACAACAAAAAAATGAAGACAGGCTCACTGCACAAACCATAAACAGTGCATGCCTCTAAGTTCAAGGGGGAAAAAGAAAAAAAGAATATCACAGTCCAAATAATGATATCCACAGTTTTTTCTTTGCCACTGGACCACCCACTTTAAACTGTATTTTTGCAAAGAAATCAAATAGGTTCTGTCAAAAGCTTTTTACACTTTAGACACAAATTGTTTGCAAAAATCACACATGCCATTTACAATCGTAAATAAGACTCTAAACAAACTAACCTACTTTCAGGCATGCAGTCTCACTCCTTTAAAAGTATCATTCCTCAAAATAAACCTTCAGAAAACACACATCCTCCGATAATTTGCACACAGTCAGAGGAGAGGAGCAGGCTGTGTGGCAATCAGCAGGCAGATGGCTTGCATGGGAGCGGGGATTTGGGGAAACACCTCCCCTTACACTATCACATACAAACGTAACCCACATTGCTGGAGAACTGCAGTGCTGGTACACTGGCTGATGCTTCAGTGTATTATCATCCCTTCACACAAAAGCAAACTGAAACAGAGATATTTTCAAAGGGCCAAGCCAGCACTGCCTGAAGGAACACAGGCAATTACAGAATATGTGCTTAAAACATTGCTAAAGACAGGTTTATGTGGATGCAGGTCAAATAATGCCGCATACCTAAATATTTAATTTGTCCCTTCTTTTGGCTTTGGCCACTTCCTCACATCTGTGCCCCCAGAGAAATATCTCATGCTCAAATTAATTTAAATCTTGACTAATTAACTTTGAATTAATTTAAACTTTTTTGAATGCACACAGCTTTTAGAAGCAGACACTAAGAGCTGCAGGCACAAATTATGCAGTCACCTTAACCTAAATCATAAGGTATACATGCAGTGTGTAACAAATATACAGAAGCAAGCTTTTGGCAGTAGGTGAGCAGCTGGTCTGCTTGTTTTTATACATTTTATCATGAGAAATGTGGAAATCACGGGTGATAGCATTTAGACTTGCATCACTAGGATACTGACTATAACAAGACCTAAAACTTCTCTCAGTAGAAATATTTTAACAGGGCATACTACAGATGCTATCTGACAGATATTCCCAGCCACAAAGGAAATCTTTTCACCTGATCCAGCTGGCCAAATCTCAGTGGTATGTGGGATGTAAAGTTGATTGAGGAGCCATATATCTTTTCCATCTGGTGATAAAGTACCAGTAAACCAGAACAGAAACTGTTATTTTCCTGACAGCAAGGGCACAGTAAGTCTTACGTACAGGACCAGTGTTTTTCTTAGGCTGCTTCATTGGAACCATGAAGATGCAAACCTAACGGACTCAGCTCTGAAGGCAGCCTTGGCTTAGCCTGCATCCCAGTGAGAGCTCAGGCTGCTCGCCAGGGAGCATCCAAAAGAATGGTTTCAGGGCTAATATCAGCTGTGAATTATTTCAAAAAACACTGTGGAAATTTGCCCAGTCGGAAACTGATTGAGCCAACAAACTCACTTTGTGTTGAATGATGGTAAGAAAAATAAAAGTGTTTTCATTTATAATAGGCTTGACAAAGTTTTGTGAAAACAGCACCTGTAGCTTCCTGCCCAGGAATGCGGAAATGTGGTGGCAGGGTTGGGGAGGGGATAGAGACAGAAATTCAGACTTTTTTTGTTATAGATTATTCTAATTTCTCTCTAAAACAGAGCAATGAAAATATCTCCCCAAATCACTGCCAGATAGCTGAACGCTTTGATTATTTTCCACTGGAAGTTAGTACACTATTTAAATGAGAAAAGAAACAAAAACCACACATTTGGGGTTTTTCCTTCACATGATGCTCATTATTTAGTGCTGATATTGTACCAGCACCTACCCAGAAACATGAGCAATTACCTCTTAATTCTCATTGTATTCTAAAATAAATACACTATTTCTACAACAGTAGAAACTGTAATTGAATTAATTTGGCTACTGAGAGTGTGTGCAGATGTCCTTTACAGCAATTAAAGATTTCTTCCCATTATTCACCAGCAAGTTTAGCTTCTATCAAGCAATTCAAATCCGAAATTAAAGGCCATACCACTTCTACACACAATACCTCTTATATATATGCCTTATAATACTGTACAGTGGTAGTATATTTCAGCACACATTAGCAAGATGATGAATCTTGAAAAGAAAACAATAAACTGAATTCTTACAAAATGACAGAAATTTTTATTAAAGCTTCCCATCAGTTATACCTAAGCTGAGATTAGACTTACTAGAAAAGTAAGAGAAAATGTCTGAGCAAAAGGTATTTTGTATTAAGAAGATTAAATAGATTTAGTGGTGCCACATAGCTGTACCATATTATGAGGAGCATTTTTTTCCTTTAAATCAAGTTGCAGTAATTGAACTTAGCTCTATTAATATAATAACCAAACATGACACAATTAATGGGATCTTTAATGTAACAAAAAAGCAAAGAAATAAGCAACAAACCACTAATGACAGTTCTTCAGGGGTTATATCTAGACATTAGCAGAACATTGACTTGAAAGGAAGGAGGTAACAGACTAGAGGGCCCTTTGCCTTCGACACCAGCAATAACTAAAGAAAATAATTAACAGCCTGCAAAACAACATTTCTCCTTGTAGTTTTATTCACAACCACCAGCAGCAACGACTGCACTGCGAGACAACCTGGTATCGCAGGGACACCAGTGCTGAGGACGAGGCAGCGCTTTAGCAAGTCGGAAGGCAGAGTTGCGGTGGTCAAACCCATGGGCCACCCGTGGGTGCTACCAAACTTGGCCGCCAAAACCCACCCCATGGGTGCAAGGCAGCCAGGACCCCACCGGCGAGCTCCTCGCTGGCTGCCGTGCCACAGCCTGCGCAGGTCCTCTCAGCTGCTCCTCAGGGGGGCCTTACACATCCAAGCAGCAGCTGTTCATTCCCCACACCCTGGTCTCCGTTTGGGTCCCCCCGAGGCACACATCCCAACCACACCAGAATGAATTTTCCAGCATATATTCCCTGTTTCTTCTTGCTCCTGGGCTTGGAGGCCATGGCCCTCCTTGATTCCCTCACAACTCCGCCAAAGCCCTAAACAAAGTTTGGTGGCCAATCCTTTCCCAGCAATACTCTTCAGAAAAG